CAATGGACTCTGGGATTCAATAGTTGGGCAAAGGAATAAGTTGTTTAGGACTGGAGCCAGAAGCTTCAAATGTAGGCTGTTAGGCCAAGGTCTCAAGGACTAGCCAGCCAAATGAGGCAGGCTACACTGGAGTTTGAAGACAGGACTGTTCTTTTTAGATGTATTTTACCAGAGAGTGGAAAATAGGATTGATTTGTACATCCTGTATGCTAACACTAACCCTCTCCCACATATACAAGACAGTGTCAAATATGGTTCTCTGGAATGACATCTAAGCCTGAAACCCCACTCTTGAATGATCTCAAGTTCTTCATCTATGTGTTACTGTGAAGGTAATTTGCAGATGTGATTAATATTCATAATTAGCAGACTTTAAATAACGGAGATTATCCTATATAATCTGGGTGGGCCTGAGTCAATTAGTTGAAAGGCCTTAAGAGTAGAACTGAGGTTTCCCAGAAGAAATTCTGCCTGTGGACTGAAACTTCACTCATGTCTGGGAGTTCCAGCCTGCCTTTTCTGACAGCCTGCTACACAGATTTCAGGCTTGACCCCTAGCCAACCCCCACAACTGTGGAAGTCAATTCCTTGCAAGTTCCTTAATGTATATCTCCTGCTAGTTCTGTTTCTCTTTTGGATGAAAAAGGAGCCACATACCAAACTTGACAAGCTCAGGGGAGGCTTAAGTTTGTATGGAGGGCCTTACAAACCCAGAGACCTCAAGTAACCACATAGGATGGTCTGAAATTAAAACTTTCTTTTTATTTTTTTAAAAAAATGTATCTTTATTGCTTTGAGAGAGAGGGAGAGATAGAAACATCAATGATGAGAGAATCGTCATTGATCTGTTGCCTCCTGCACACCCCTAACTGGGGATGGAGCCCACAGCCGGGTCATGTGCCCTGACTGGGAGTGGAACCGAGACCTCTTGGATCCTAGGTCGATGCTCAACCACTGAGCCATGCCCGACCGGGCAAAACTTTCTAACTAAAAGTGAATCATGGTGGGTAGTCATGTCCTAGGCCGGTATCTTCCCTGACAAAGGTCAATCTTTACCTTAACTGAGCCTGTCTATTGTGTTTTGCTTCTACAGTAACGTACCTTTGGAATGTCAGGGTACTTTCCTTTTTTCCAGAACCCTCACTGCACCAGAACAGAGATCACAAGACCCTTCATTGCTATTATCATGTTGTTAACTGCTTACTTTTTATACAAGCCAAGATTTTCCTGCTTTGCTTTCTGGCACCTCCCTAACTTGCCAACAATGGATTTCACGTTACCCCCTTACATCTTCCCATTTGATTCTGATGTATAAAATAAGTGGTAAAACTGCCATTATCTGGAGGATTTTCTCAACCTGTTGAGAGTTTGCTTTCTAACAATCGTCAGTTTGGCATCAAATAAACTCACAAAAATTCTCTTCAGGTTTAAATGTTTCTTACCTTGACACACTGGTTGAGCCCTGATTAAGCATGAATATTTTCAAGTCGTAGTATGTACAATGTGGACTTTATATTTTAATAATAATACAAACATTTGTATTTTAATAATAGCAAATACAAATATATTGTGTATATATAGGAGTGAATGTGTGTGGAGGGGTATACGCATGAGTGTTCTCTTTTAGAGTAGGCTGGACCTTGAGTTCCCATGTCCTTCCTTGTAATGTCCAGTTCTAGCAAGAATCCTGCTAAGTCATTTTAACTAGAATCTCTCTCCCTCAGTATCTGACTGGGTTCCTCACTCTACATTATTCCCCAGGTGATGTTTATTACCCTAGCCTGCTTTCAGTAGAATCCTTCCAGTTGATCTAGCAATAATTCTATTTACCCCTTGATGTTTCCTCTTGGTAGTTTTCCATCCAAAGAACCCCCTACACACACCTCACCTGCTCCTTGACTAGAAATTCCCATTTTTCTTGTTGTATTCAGTGTTGAGCCCAATTTTTCTCCCATATTACAAAACCCCCACAATAATAGCTCTCCTTGAATAAAATCTGATTTATCATCTCTAACAAGTATATATATATATTTGGATTTCAAAAAGTTTATACTGCTATATCACGTATACAATTTTTTAAAACACAGACATGAAAAGAAAAACATTGCAATTAAAAAGTAAATACAAATAGGGGTTGCCAATAGGGGTTGTAATTCTCTTCCTGTATCTCAAGAGTCATCTTGCATTTATCTCACTTTGAGGTCACTCATCAAACTATTTGCCAAAAGATGGCGTACAAAGATTCCAGGGTTCATATCTTAAAAAGAAGTAACGGTGCCTGTTTCAATATCAATTTTTAAATTCTCAATAAATGTTTTTCTCTTTAAAATGGAACACTTTGGGAGCTTCCAAAAGATTCCCTAAGAGTGAGCACTTAGGACAGTTAATACAGATCGGCCAAATATGCTGTTCATTCAGTCACTCCCAGTTGGCTTATCACTCTGCTGAACACTGCTAATCACAGTAATAGTCTTGATACCTGTAGTTTTTAATGGTTTTTATTCTTAGCCACAGGAATTTAATTTATATCCCAAATAGACCTTTGATTGATTTATTTATTTTCAAATATATCTTTATTGATTTCAGAGAGAGGAAAGGAGAGGGAGAGAGAGAGACATAAACATCAATGATGAGAGAGTCATTGATCAAGCCCACAACCCGGGCATATGCCCTGACCGGGAATCGAACCCTGATCGCCTGGATCCTAGGTCGGTGCTCAACCGCTGAGCCATGCCCCGCGGGGCTAGACCTTTGATTTAAATAGGAGGCAAAAGAAAAATACCATTAAAGTGCTAGTTAAGGAAAGCATTAAATTGATAATTCTGCATTTTTGCCTCAGGTGATTTTCATATCCATGTATTTCACTTAGTTCATCATATACAGACATTAAAAGAATATTAAAAGGAGAAATATAGTGGTGATTACACCCAATTTAGCTCTTCATTTATTGAGAATAAAAAGAAGTTATATCTCTCATGTTTCATTTACAAATAACAACCAGAAACCTTCTCATCATTTAGAGACAAAACACAAATTATAATTTGATTTTTTTAAAGAAAAATGTAATAATTCCAGCCCAGCTGGTGTGGCTCAGTGGATTGGGTGTTGTCCCACGCACCAAGAGGTCCCTGGTTCAATTCCGGTTCAGGGCACGTGTCTGGGTTGCAGGCTCCATCCCCAATAGAAGGCGTGCAGGAGGCATCCGATTGTTTTTCTCTTTCATTGCTCTCCCTCGCCCTTCCTCTCTCTCTAAAATCAAAAACAATTTTTTTTTTTAAATTTAAAGTTGCAATAATTCAAAAAATGAAAAAAGCAGTTTTTGCTTGGCTTTAATCCTATAAAGTGCACTTAATGTTAAATCTAGGAATGTGGAACTATTATATATCACAAACCCTGTTTTTTCTTACACAGAAGTTTGTGTTACACTTTAACAGGAAAAAAATCTGTCAAAAGAGAAAAATCTACCCAGGAAAAGTTTTTGGTATTTATAGATTGATTTTTAGTTTTGCTAAACACGTAAGTGATGAACTATTACTTAATAAAGGAATTCACGACTCAATAAAGGCAGGGAAACCCTGCCTTAAATCAGTGTTTCCATAAAGGCTGAAAATGGACTTCATCATACGATCTTTAATAACATACAATGTGTGTACCACCTGAAATTGTTCATGCTGCACATTTTAACTACAACAGTATTATCCTGTCAAGACAGCAGCCACTTCGGCTTCATGTCATATCAACATTACGGTATGTATACTTGCTAAATTTAGGGCACTTTTCAACTATTCTCAAACGGACACTAATATGAAAATCAAAGACCGTTTGGTCTTAACAGTAAAAACTTTACAAACCAAAGATGTTACTATCCACCCTACTATGGCAATTACGAACGAGCAGAGCGCCCAGCAGAGCAGTAAAATGCCTGAAACACTAATATTTCTTCTGCAAACACATACACGAAGTCTTCCCAGTTTTGCTAAGTGAACTTTGGCTTTAACGGCGCTGATAACTGAAGGATAAAAAGCACGACCAACGCATCGTGAGGCGCGGGGGTGAAGAACGCAGCGGCAGCCCCACTGGAAGGCCAGGGCTCGCGCCCGGGACGGCGAAGCCGAGCTGCTGCGGCGCAGGTGGCGCTCCCTTCACGCTGGAAACTCAGCCACGCCAAAGACGGAGTGAAAGACTGGCTCCCTCGAGTCAAACTTAGAAGTTCTGAGCGCTTGTGGGTGTTTCGGGGCCTAGTTCTTACTACTCCTCACCTGCCGGAGAAGCTTCGAGACATAACAAACAGTTCCCTACCCCAGACCGGCTCGGCTGGAACTCCACCATCTAAGCCCATGGAAGGAACTCGAGCCACCCAGCGCCCACGGAAGGACCCAGTCCCCGGCCCCCAGAGGAAGAGGCGGGACTCGCTTTACTCTTTTCTCTTATTGGCCACGCAAATCCTTTATTACAACCAATCAGTGGTTGAAACTTCTGTCGACGTAAAGGGCGGTGGTGTGCGGCGATTACGTCAGCTGGCTCTACGCAGGCGCAGACGTCCTGCTTTGGTCCAATCCCAGGAGAGGTAAGCTCCCGGCACCTCCTCGCGCCTCTTTAGCTTCCCCAGGGCTATGGCCCGCCTCTCCGTTGCTGACCAATCCTCTTCACTTTCCGCCGCGCGTTTACCCAATCAGAGAGGTAGAGGGTGGAGTTCCGGTCGTCTGCTCTGCGCCTTTCCGGAGTGCGTGTTCTCTCCCGGGCCAGTTGTGGGCTTCTGGCTGAGGTACATTTCGTAGGGCCGGGCTGGTCGAGTCTCCGGGCTGGGTAGCTCCCCCGACCGGCGGCGGCAGTACGGGTTGAGTCTAGAAAGCGGGAGTTGCCGAGCCTCTAGCGCTGAGGGTGATGGGGAGGAGCCGGGAGGAGGGACCACGCGGTGGGGTTTTTGGTGCCGCGGTGCCGAGCCTCGGTCTAACCCGCGTAGTCCTGCCCCGTGGGCCGTTGCCGCCTCCAGCACTTTCTTTGGATCTTTTTTTATTAAGAGCGTAGCAGCTTTCGCCGAGTGTTCAAGGAAGGGTAGCCAGAACCTGTTTTCCCCCTGCTCCTTACGCCGTCCCCTCGCATTCTTGCCTACCCACCACCTGGGCTTGTTCGTTTTCATGGTCAGAAAGCCGGTTTTCATTTGGGAAAAGGAGTAGAACGAACTACGAGACCAGCCACTAGGCTAAGCACTTCACGTGTATTATCTCATTAATCCACATTGCACTCTAGAGAGGTGCTGTTGCTGTTCTCATCTTCTCGGGAAGAAACGCGCTAAATCACTAGTCCGCGTGTTCTCTTCAGCTTGTCTCTGACAACTTAAATTGAGTGTGGCATTCGATTTCCTTGGACATAACATTAGAAAGTGGTATTCCTTGTAAAATGTTGCTCCTGTTTTCTAACTTGAGGTTCAGAATACAGCGTACCTACAAGTAAGTTGATTGTTTTTATCGAGGTAAAATGATGTAGTAGAAAGACTTAGGAGTAGAAGCCACTTCCTAAACCCTTGACCGGGGAAGTCTTCAGGTGCAGAATCGAAATGAATACCAGCCTTGTCTACTTCCTAGAGTTGTGAGGATCAAATGAAAAGTGGATCTAAAATGTAAATTACGGATGTTAACTACATATGACTTTGTGCTTTTCGAATTCTTTCCTGTAGAGGCTAGACTATCGTTTGAACTTAGAGCATAGAGTATGTACCAGTGGTAGTAACATGCAGCCTATTACTACTTAAGCCTGTGTGCCCCATTTGCCTGCTTGCTTAGGGTTCAGGACAATATTCCTTGTAGTAAGTGCAAGTCATGTTTGTCTGGTTTATATTCTTACCTTAGGCGGCTGTAAAACAAAGTAGATCTGCCCACATGGCTGCTTTTGTGAATTCTTTTCTCTCCCCTGGTATTGTTACCCATGCAGTTTGAGTTGTATCTTTGTTTTAACCTAAAATCATGACTTTTTTCCTGCAACTTTTATTATCAGTTACAAATAGGACTGAAGGTAATGCTTATTTTCTTATTCCCTATGATGCTTTAACGAACTACTTTTCCCATGATTTCTGCCTATTTAAGATATTTTCATTTACTTGATAGCAAAGACCATAATTGAAAACAAAAGAATTTCTATATTTCTGAACTGGAGTGCTAGTCATATTAATGTAGTTCAGTATTTTGGGGCCAGTTGTGTGCAAATCACTGCTAAGTTGTTGGAGCGTGTACAGTTGACCCTTGAATGACACAGGTTTGAACTGCGCGAGTCCACTTATACACAGCTTTTTGACAGTAAATATCTGTACTGTTTTTCCTCTATTTCTTATAATAGCCAGTTTACTATAGTCATAGGTATGTGTCCCCCAGTTTAAGAAGCATGAGCTCAGTTGATGGGTATTCATTATAAGGAAGCCATTTAAGCAAAGACTCTGGGTCCCATGCTCTTAAGGTTAGACTGTGCACTAGGTTTCCTGGAGAACTGCACTGGTAAGTTTCCTCATCATTGATACCTTCCAAGCCTCTTAGCAAGAAGCTAGTACCTTTGATGACTTCAGTTTTTGTCATTTTTTTCAGAAGAAGATAATCATTTGTTGCTCTCATATCTGACTGGAATTCATAATTCTCAGAAGACAAGACCTGATGAGTTGGGTTTGTAACCATCCACTCATTGGAGTAAGATAATGTATGAAAAAGACCAGCCCTAAGTAGTCATTTAGTTTATAATAATTATTCAGTAAAGGTCTCTATGCTTTTTGCATGGAATTGGAAGGAGAAAGGTCAAGGAGAAGCCTATGTGGGATATTTCTATGGTTCAGGCCTATATTACTTATTCTCACATTTCTTTGGCTAGAATTCTCACATAGTCTCACCTAATTAGCTTATTTATGTGCCTAGCTTGTAATGAGTTTGCAGTCTCTGCTATAATGGGTACTACCTCTAGCCAGCTGCTTAAGACTTGTCCCTCAGGCTCTGGCTGTGTAGCTTGGTTGAGCATCATCCTAATACACCAAGGTTGTGAGTTTGATCCTTGGTCAGAGCACATATAAGAATCAACCAATGAATGAATAAATAAGTGGAACAGCAGATTGATCTTCCTCTCAACTCTTTCCTCTCTCTAAAAAACAATCAATAAAAATTGACATGGCTGGTGTTGCTCGGTTGGTTGAGTATTGTCCTGAGCACCAAAAGGTAGTCTGTTTGATTCCCAGATGGGGCACAGGCCTGGGTAGTGGGCTCTATCCCTGGTAGGGGGTGTGCACGAGGCAGCCGATCTGTTTCGCTCTCACATCAAAGTTTCTGTCTCTCCCTCTCCCTTCCTCTCTAGAAATCAGTAGAAATATTAAAAAATTAAGTAAGTAAATAAAAATTAAAAAGAATTATAATAACACCATTTTACATTTGAATGGCTATTTAAGAATGCTTTGTAAACTATGTCCTTTATATCATTTGAGAGTCAGTATAAGGAAGCATTTAAGAGTGTGGGCTCTTGAATTATATTTGAGGTCCAGTTCCTGCTATGCATCTGTGAGTTGAGTGACCTTTAGCAAATCTTTTCTGAGCCTCCATTTCCTAATTAGAAAATGGGAGAAGTAAGTGTGCCTACTTTATAGGGCTGTCCAGAACATTAAATGAGATATGATGCATTTAAAGCATTTAGAACATTCCCTGCCCTGGCCGGTGTTGCTCAGTTGGTTGAGCATCGTCCTGTGCACTGAAAGGTCACCTGGTTCAATTCCCTGTCTCTCTCCCCCTCTCCCCTCTCCCTTCCTCTCTCTGAAATCAATGAAAACATTAAAAAAAAAAAAGTCCCTGGCATATAGCAAGAATTCAGTGATTCAGTGTACCTTAGTTACTGTTATCATTGGTGCACACAAAAGAAACAATAAATAGAAAAAGTGGAAATGTGAGTAAACCAGGGTTCAGATGGGATCTGTGATTTATTGAAGATCATCTGCAAAAAAAGAAAAAAAGTAAGCCCCCCACTTCTAGCGCTGATCTGTTTTTACTGCCTCCTTTTCTACAGTAACACCTCTTTAGCTTATTCATTTTATATATATATGTATGTATATATATATTGATTTCAGAGAGAGAAAAGGAGATGGGGGAGAGAGAAAAACATCAATGATGAGAGTCATTGATTGGCTGCCTACTGCATGCCCCCGACTGGGGATCGAGCCCGCAATCCGGGCATGTGTCCTGACCTGGAATTGAACCACTATCTCCAGGATCCTAGGTCGATGCTCAGCTGCTGAGCCACGCCTCACCTGGGCAGCTTACTCAGATTGACTAGGTCCATCCCAGACACAGGCTCCTTCATTTCCTATTGTGTTTCCAGGTCTTAGCTATTTTTGTTAAAGTACCTTTTTCTTGGTTCTGATTCTGCCCTTCCCTTTTGTGTATGTGTGTGTGTTAAAATTTATCTTTATTGTTGAAAGTATTACAGATGTCCACCTTTTTCCCCGTTTGCTCCCCTCCACCCTGCATCTACCCCCACCCCCAGGCCTTCCCCATACCAATGTCTGTGTTCATAGGTTATGCATATAAGCATATAAGTTGCCCTTCCCTTTCTTCATGAATCCTTCCTTTAGCTCTTCTGTCACTCAAACCTAAAGTTGTTAGCATGTATCACAGGCATATCTTTTCAAGAAAAGAAGAGAATAGATTTTGAAGCTAAATTTTTACAATGGTTAGTTGCTTTAAGTTGTGATTTTATTAGCCTATCATTAATTTGTATTTAATGTAGGACTGAATTATTATTATTTAACTCTATTTTATTCATTTTTAGAGAGGAAGTGGGGGGGGGAGAATGAGAGAAACATTGCTTTGTTGTTCCACTTATTTATGCATTCATGTGCCCTGACCAGGGATCAAACCCATAACCTTGGCGTATCAGGACGGTGCTCTAACCAACTGAGCTACCCAGCCAGGGCCAATAAATTATTTTTATGAAGCTATTTTATTCTCTCCAAACTTCCCCCCCTTTTTTTCTGAGCTTATAAAATCAAATTGAAGTTTTTTTTAGGAACTAAGAAATGAGTTTGAGAATCACACAAATCCCCTGAGCCATTCTAAAAATACAAAGAGTACAATTTATGAATCATTGGGTTATTTTGAAAATACTGAATGATTAAAAATGTGGATGTATCCTTTTCTGGCATCAAAACCATGATTTATGTCATATAAGGCACATAATATTAACTGCGTTATTTGCAGGAAATTTTAGATAATTTGATCCCCTAAAGTATTTGCTGAAGGAAGAACATTTTGAACATATTGTTTAATTCCAGAATTTGTGTATATGGGAGTAGCTGTTAAATTACTTTCAAACAAGTAGGTATTTATTGAATGCTTTCTGCATATAGGGTTTTGTGTAAAACTGCAAGGTGATGTTTCCAAATCCTAACCCTTTCCTTAGCTTCCTCAGTTATGCCTTCATTGTGCTTTCTTTGACTTTAGGAGCTTGGAGTGAATCAACCTTCTCCAACTTGTGTCTGTGGATGTTTCATCAAAGTTGTTACTAATTGATTTCTTTCTTATGTAGGAACTTTACTTTCTCCAGAAAAGGGATTGCTGTTTCTAAGGATTGGGGGTGTGTGTGTGCCTTCTCCTGTCTTTGACATTGTTTTACATATACGGTAGTTCCTTATCTTTGCCTTTTTGTCGCCCTCTATTGAGTTTGTTCTGTGTGTGTATGTTTACACTCCTCACAGGAAGTAGGATTTCATGAGGGTAGGCCAGTAGTGGATGGATTTTATAGAATTGGAGAACGTGACTTCTGTCCTTATGAAGTTTATACTCTGCAGTGGGGTAAACAAATATAAGTGTGTAAGACATAACTAGATAAATATATTAAGTATTTATTACTTCTCTGTGAATAACACAGTATTTTGGCATTCAAAGGAAGTAGAAACTAACTTTAGGCTGAGTTAAGAAAGATTTTGTAGGGCTAGTAGCATTTCAGCTAGATCTTGAAGCATTGGTAGGATCTAGATAACTCAAAAAATGAGTTATTTTCAAATTCTTGGAGAGAATAGTAATCCTTTTTGTAGTTCTATTGTGGGAAAAATATTTTACCCATTAAAATATTGAAAAGTTTGGCCCTGGCCAGTGTGACTCAGTTGGTTGGGCGTCATCCCCTATACCAAAAGTTAGCTGGTTGGATTCCTGGTCAGAGCACATGCCCGGTTTCAAGCCCGTACTCTGGTAGGGGGTGTGGAAGAGGCAGCCGATCATTGTTCCTCTCTTACTTTCTCTCTCAAAATCAATTTAAAATCTTTTTAAAAATTATTTAAAAAATATTGAAAAGTCTGGGTTTGCTATAAAATAGTGTGTAATTCACATGTTCAAATATCTTGCAGCCCATGCAGAAACAACAAAAGAAAGTATATGATATTTTATAAGAATTAAGTATTTCTTTTAAGAACTATTCATACTTAAGAACTATTTGTGAAGTCGTATATTTGCTTTTGTTTTCCGTTTAATGTCATGCCGAATGTCAGTATTTGTTACATGAAAGTAGTTTTTTTTGTTTTTGTTTTTAATGAAAGTAGTTTCTGAGAACAAAACTCTCTTATATGATATTTCTCCAGTGGGAAATAAAACTTTCTCCTATTGTTGCCATCCTTGCCCAGGAATCAGACTTTAGATTAAGTGTTTCCTGTTTTGCTCTGTGTCAGGCACAATAGGAGGTTACAGCAGTAGCAGGTGAGAGAGGTGATGCGAAACCGGAGAATAATGGCAGAGGAAACAGTGAGGAGTTGGATGTGAAGGGTGATTTTCAAGGTGGTGGTTATTAGCTTAGTTGAATCTTGTTTTTTGCCTCCCTTTAGTCATAGATGATTCTGAGATTTTGAGGCTAGATGACTGAGAAGATTGTGCAGTTAACAGAGATGATGAATACAGGTATTTGAGTTGTATTTTGGGTATATTTAATTTGAAGTTTTGGCAGCATGTTCAGAGGTCAGGATGTAGGAGACATTAGAAATACGGGTTTGGAATTTTGGAGAAAGATCAGGGTTGTACGAGTCCACTTAGAGGTAATAATACATGAGTTCACATAGAGGAAGAAAGGAAAAGAACAACTAAGAAAAATGCAGTTTAATCACAGTTATCATGGTTCATAGAAATTTTAATAATTACTAAATCAAAGCATCTTTCTGTTTAGAGACTTTGTAGTCTTGGATGATTTTTTTGTATTCTCTAATTTTTGGACCTGTTGCTAGATGGCAGTAGTAATCAATGCCAAGGGCAAGGCAGCATAAGTCTAAGCTAAGCATTTTCACATGTTTAGTAAAGTTACAACCGGCAGTACTTTATTTCTCGTGTTTTCTGTCCTTTACATCAGCTCTATTAAGTATGTGTGAACTTTTTTCTCTCAATATCTGGCTTTTGCAGGATGGTTCAGGAATTATGCTTTTGTTGGTTATTTCTCTGATGTCAGGATCTCTCACTGTGTTCACAAGAGAGGAAATGAGTTTAGAACTTAACTAGATTCTGATCTTCCCAAGATGTGTGGCACAAAGTGGTTTAAAGAGCTGGTGTGTCCTACTGTATCTTTACATAAGTATAAAGTTATAAATATTTATGTCTAAGGGTTTTCCCACTGTTTTGATTTCAATTTCAGCAGATCCCTTTTGGATATTCACCTAATTTGGAGTATTAAATAGTAAATCTTCAAAATGTAGAAGAAAGTGTCTTTATCAATTTACAAATATTTATAAAATATTGCGTTATTATATGAGAAGTATGTTGACATTATTATAAGCTATCCAATGTCAGGAAGCCTCATTTTGCCCCAGTCTTATTTCAGTCAGTGGTTAACAGTGGAAATGGAATTATCAATATGTTAAAGCATCTTTCTGTTTGGTGACAATTTGGGGAAACATTTTGTTCTGTGAATTCAACTTGGAAGTATCTAGTCTGCCTGCTCCCCCCCAATATAATGTTTATGTGTGTGTGTGTGTGTGTGTGTATTTTTTTCTGTTGTCATTGGTTAACAGCGTGAGATATATATATGTATTTTACATATATATATATATATACATATATATATATTAGGTTTCACGTCTAATAGTTTATTCTATAAGTTTAAGTTTGTTATATGACACTAGTGTGTTTCTTTGAAATTCTCTATGCTGGTGTTTGTCCTTTTGTGTGTGTGTGTGTTTGTGTGTGTGCCAGGCATCATTCTGAGCATTTAACATGTAATTAATTTATTTGTTACAACAACCCTATGAGATTGGAACTGTTATCTCCTGCTTAAAGAATAGGAAGCTGAAATATATAGC